CCTTGGATCCACTAAAGCTACTTAATGCTCGCCAGCTTCCAGCTCCACGGCTCTCTTGCTAACTTCTGTGCGATTCTTCTTATTCTGTTTTTTTTTTGTTTTTTTTTTGTTTTTTTTTGTTTTTAGTTTTTAATAAATTTCTTAGATAGATGCTGAGCTGAGTTGGACCACTTCGATCGCCCGCATCTCCATCTGCATTTGTGCGCCAAGCTGTTCCCACGCTGCTGGCCAACCGGCCAACCAGCCAACCAGCCAGCCAACAAGCCAAAATCAAAGCCATTAGTTTACACTTTACATGCTAATGGCAATGGCTCGGCAAGAGCCTGTCGCGTCCTTCAGCAAATGCCCCGAGGCTAGAGGATGGCAATGTTCGGGCTTCTGGTTAGGCTTGGGCAGGGGCCCAGTCCTGTCCTGCTGAAATAAAACCAATGAACTTTTTAATTGCCTATGAAACTCGGCACCGCCAACCCCTGTCTGAGCACCTCAGCTCCCAATCCCGCTCCACAAAGCACACACACACACACACACAACACTCAGTTAAGGCTCATCCGTTCGAGTCGCGTATTTGGGTAGCCAGACGCTGCTGCTCCGATTTGGTGGCTTTGTCGACTTTCGTCTGGCCTTTTGCCGCAATTTAAAGTTTTACTGTTTGGTATTATTTTATTTGCAAATTGGCGCCGTTACGAGCTGCGACTTGACTGCAGTTCTGCTTTTTATACTGTTCGCCACGAAAATGTTGTTGAAATAGACGGTCTTCATGGATCAGCGTTTGATGATACACTGTGCCACAAAGTTGGGCGATTTGTAATGGTCTAAGCAGTTGAGTGGCTATGGAGATGTGTTAACACAGTTAACATTCGCATTTTATTTGTAGTTGAGAGAGCTTAAAATTATATGTGGAAGTAGTTAAAGTTCATGGAGAACTTTAAGTAATGAAAATGAAACATTCCTTGTTTGGTGTAGTGTGTAATATCCATATTTATGAATGAATAACTTGTTATTTACATATCCCTTACACAGAATATGTATGAATTTTAACCCTACTACTTGCTAACAATTCTAGCATTTAATTTATATTTAACTATTCCCAAAACCTGTGCAAAAACTCTTTAATTTGGATCAGCTGTTTGTTGGCCTGAAGAAGAAGTAGGAAAAGAATAGGTAGCGTTGCTTGGTGACAGTCAAAGGTGGTCGCTGTTATCGGTGATATCAAATAGATATATTAATACTAATTAAAACAGTTAAATGTCATTTGGCTTTTGGAGCGGAAAGGACCGAAAGACAGACAAAGCGACAAACGGCGCGAGCTAAACAAATTCGGTTAGCGCAGCAGGTGGCAGCAGAGAGTCTGAGAATCTGGCAAATGGAACCTACGGCAACAGCAAAAGAAACGGCAACAGCAACAGCAACAGCAACGGCAACGGCAACGGCGACGGCAACCTGATCTCAGCAGGCGCTATCAACGATGGTGCTGCAGGTTCAGCACCTTTTGTGCGATAGCCGACAATAAGTTGGGCACATCAATCGGAGGCGGTGTCATAATTTTCACAGCAGGTGTCGTTGCTAATGATTTACAGCAGTGCCAGCCACTCAGCCGGGCCAGTCGATGCATAGAGCAACGAGTAACGTTGCAAAGTGCAATGCGTCGGCAAACAGACAAACCGACAAACAGACAAACCGACAAACCGACAAAACATACCGAAAAACATGAAGAATCTAAATTCGTTGTGGCCAGAAGCGCTCCGCTTTGATGTCGCAACGAGGTCAGAGGAACCGGAGGTTGGCTATGGTGGGGGAGAATCAATTGGGAGTGGGAGAGCAAGATCTCAGCTAGATCTGAGACAGTGTCCAGCTCATTGTTTGTAGTATGCTCCAGCCAGGCAACATAAATTTCGGGAAAACAATTCATTATTCATTTTGTATGTATGTTTGGTCTCCTTTCAATTTGACTCGGTTCGGATCGGCTTAGGCCTTTGCCTTTGCCTTCGCCTTCGCCTCTGCAGTCGAAGTCCCAATCACAGACCCAGTCACAGACCCAGTCACAGTCCCAGTCACAGTCGCAGTCGCAGTCACAGTCACACAATGGGAACAAACACATACACAATAAGCGTTGGGCGTTGCAGTGGCTCGCTGCGCTAATTTGGTCAGTTTTGGTTGGTGTCGTGGTTCGTCTGTGTGGCGCCAGTGGCGCCCCCCATGGCGCACAACTGACAAAGCAAATTGTTAGCTATTGTAAACGATTCGATTTGGAGCACAGAGGCAGGAGGCACTTGTTGTTGCTTGTTGATGATGCACTGCGTGTGGCATGTGACGTGTGGCAGAGGATATGAGTTAACCCTTTAATTACTACATGCATGCATACTTCTTGGGGATATAATTTATTGATAAGTATTTTGGCAACGCGCTCTTATTAATATTAACTTCAAATGGCTTACAACCTTTTATGTACAAGTTTTTGTTTCTATTTCTAATTGAAATTGTGGCAACTGCAATGTGACAGTTGTGCAATATGACCATGATCCATTCAATAGTCACAGCTGCTAATTAAATGCAAGAGTTATGTGCCAACTCACAGCTTAAGCACACATAGTTAGTCTGCAGTTTCTCTTGATGCTAATTTCTAGCAGTAATTGTTTGTTGTTTTTCTGTGTTCTCTGTGATGATCGATGAATCAAATCGTCTAGCATTTAAATTTGCCAAGCCTTGATTGACTGACTGGCTAACTGATTAACTAACTAACTAACTGGCTCACCGGCTTGCACCGATATCATTTTGTATAATTTTCTTGCCACACAATCGAACAAACTCGCAGGGAGCCCCCATATGCGCAGTTGCACGACGTTGAAATTGCTCCAATTATGTTTTGTTTTTTGTTTTGTTTCTGCTCTGGCGGAATCTGTTCTGTTCGGTCAAAGTAGTTCGGTGGCTCTAACTGCCTGACTGTCAGACTGCCTGCCTGCCTGCCTGCCTGGCTCACATACAGCCAGCTCATCCTTTTAGCCATTCCATGCATAGAGACTGCTTGCGCTGACTGGCCCCAAACCCGAGTCCGAGTCCGAACCCGAAACCGAACCTGATCCCGATCCCAAAACCCGATCTCGATATCATTAGACTGCCAGCGGGGCAGTGGCACCTCTCTGACATATTGCACTGCCAGCACACGGCATCGACATTGCCAATAAACGTGCCACCAAAAAGGTAGCCGTATCTCTCGGCTACCAGTTACTACCCCAGTCGCCCGTAATCAGACTCAGCCAACAGCAAATGCAGCAATGCGGAAACAGCTGGGCTTCTATTGATTTCGACTTGCAGCCAACTATGAATGCGTAGTGCAGTCGCTGCTGCAGTCGCCAAGTTGCTCTTTGTGGGCAGTAGGGCGAGCAGAGCACAATTATCCGACAAATAGCAGCTTCCGCGGCCTCGATCTTTGCCTGATTGCTGGTTGCCAACGTCGGCGATTTTTTTTCTTTTTTTTTTTTTTTGCCTCCTACAGCAACTTCTAGCGATGCTAAATTGGCCGGCAGGCAACGGTAAAAGCCAACTGTAAATCGCTGAGTTGAAACTATAAACTTAATTCTGTTGGACAGGGGGAGGCAGCCACTTGACTACTGGGCGGCCAAAAGTGGTCTAACCGACTTTTACCTATGCCGAAAATTGCTGGTTAACGTTTCTTGTTGTTGCTGCCGCCGCTGTTGACAATTTTGGGTGCCACATCAAACAGCTGCTGAGCCGAGCTGAGCTGCCAGGCGAAATGTGTGTGATGAGGATCAAGGCAAAAGGATCAGCCATAGACGGGGCCAGAGTCAGTGAGCCAAATCCAAATACAAATCCAAATCCTCGACCTTCGTCAATCACGCAGCAACTTCAGTCGCACAAACACATTCACATCCACATCCACATCCACAGATATACAGATCAAGGGATATGCAGACAGTAATTGAGAGAGCAAGACAGATAGCTCACAAGTGTCGGATGATGTTTTGCTGAGACGCTAGACAAGAGCGGAATTGAAAACAATTAGTTTCGGCTAAAAGGACACAGCATAAGCAAATAGGAAACACGCCAAGAAGAGGTCATAAATGACTTCCTTTTGTTTTTTGCTTTGGTTTTGGTTTTGCATTTTTTTCTTCGTGTTCTCATCGGTGTATAAATCAAGCCATACCAGCGCACAACTGCCAAAGTCGCCGTTGAGATGCTCTAGCAAATAATCATTTTAGTCGATTATAGTTATGGTCATAGTTTGATATACATTTCAATTAATTAAGTTCTACATATTTGCAAATGCGTATTTAAGTTTGCTGGCTTTACAGTTTTCTCCACATATTTTTCCGTAGCTTTTCACAGATTTTCCACGTACATTTTTGAGAATGATTATTATGGATTATTTTTATAGAAAATTAGAAAGAATTTTTTTTTTAATTTTTAGCTGGCAATGCATTTTTGTAATGAGCTGAAAGATGTCTAGTGAAATTTAGCCTTGAAGCTTCAATTAAAATTGCATTCAAACTAAAAAAACACAAAGCAAACAATATAATGTATATATATTATATATATATATATATAATATATGAGTGATATGTGAGTCCACAAAGAAATAGCATTTATAACTGTGAGGTTCCAAGCTAACAGATTTAGCCAAGGTGCCAACTGCTAGATACACTATCAAAAAGATGCAGACCGTAAAAAATGGGCGCATTTAACGCTAAAAGCAAAATTCAGTTTTGATTTACGTTGCGAATTAATTTTTTGGGTTGGTGTCGGTGGCATTAGAAAACCGTATTTTATTTTGGTTGTTATATTTTGTGGATGTTGTTGCCAGCAGGATATGAAATTGAGCACAACTAATTTGTATTTAAATAATTTTGCAGATTCGCGCGAAAGTTGCGCTTGTTAATTAAGAATAAGCAAAAGCAATTTACTCCGTTCCCATGCCCACAAAGCAAAAAGAAACCAAACTCAATGACTCTTTCCACTCTCTCTGCTTGTCATGCTCTTTCCAGGACCATCCCAGCCTGCGCGGTACACCATTAGCCATGCTGGCTGCCCAGTGCAACAAGCTGTCGAACAAATCCCCACCGCCGCTCGCCGATGCGGCCGTTGGCAAGGGTTTTCATCCATGGAAGAAGAGCCCCAACTCTCCAGCGGCTGGCAACAGTGGTGGCGGCGGCGGCGGCGGAGGTGGAGGTGGAAGCACAGCCAGCGGCAGCAGCAGCGTCGGACAGCATTCACCATGCGCCATCTCAGCAGCCAGTTCGTCCAGCTCCAGTGGCAGTGGTAGTGGTGGCGGCGGTGGAGGCGGTGGCGGTGGCCAAGGATCACGCAGCCTCTCGTCCAGCGCCAACAGCAGCACCATGGTCAACATTACTGCTAGGTAAGCAGCTTGACGGCGCACAGTGGTCCCATATTCAGAGATCTGGCTGAACAACATACATATACAAATGGATTCTCACTTTACAACATCAATGACACCATTAGCTAAAAGTAAATGAATAGTTTTATCTAACTCGTTCCTTCTGTTTATATTTGGAATTGAATTTTGATCAATGGACTACTACACTAGACTCGGTTACTTGGGCATTGTCAAGTGCTCTTAACTCAATGCCACATTGATATACACTTTGTTTGATTAGTTGATCATTGTGGCTCACTAATAATAAAATTCTCAACTGCTTTCTATGGAAAATGACATAATAATTATCGTAAGAACTTAATGCTGTGCATTTTGTCACGTTTCAAAAAGTTGTGCTTTTTTTTTAAATTTTTAAAATTCAATGATGAAGTTGAGAAGTTAAACAGTCCATTTCAAATAAAATCCAAATCAAAATTCTGTGCTCCTTTCAAAGAGTATCCCAACAGCTAATCTCTGACATATTACAAAAATGACAAATACCAAAAGATAAAAGGTTAATGTGAGCATTTGAAGGTAATTGTGATGATGAGTGTGTACTTGTTCAGCTAGTTATCTGCTTGGATTTTTGGGGATCACTGTGCGTTGCTCAGACAACAGCGCGCTCTATACAACTGTGAGTAATTTCAGCATATATCCTTACAGTCGCCCGCTCGCCTCGTCCTGCGCGGCCGTTGGCAGCTCGGCCTCCGCATATGGCAGTGATTTATACTTTCCGAACACATCCACATCGACGGCCAGCATGGTGGCGGACAATCACCACATGCATCAGGGCCTCCTGGGCAAGGTCGAGGGTGCTGCCTTTGGATCGGTATACTCTCGTCATCCATACGATTGGCCCTTCAATGCGGTGACAGCATCCGCCCACAAGGCAGCCGAGGCAGCCAGCGTCAATTCGGGCTGGTGGGATATGCATAGTGCTGCCGCCGCTGGCAGTTGGCTGGACATGGGCAGCGCTGCTGCCGCCGGGATGCACTCGACAATGGCCAACTATGCGAGTGCCGCAGCAGCTGGAACAGATTACAGTTCAGCACTGTCACATTCGTTGTCAAATACGGCACACTTGCTGGGATCGGGACAGCATCTGCTGCAGGACACATACAAGAGCATGCTGCCGGGTCAGGGCGTTGGTGGCTTCTCGCTGCCACATAGCTCACCGTCGGCGGCATCTACGGCAGCATCGCCGCAGGCATCAACGCCATCGACGCCATCGCCACGCTCGCAGCGACGCTATGCGGGCAGAGCGACCTGCGATTGCCCGAACTGCCAGGAGGCGGAACGTTTGGGGCCGGCTGGCGTGCATTTGCGTAAAAAGAACATCCATTCTTGCCACATACCCGGCTGTGGCAAGGTGTACGGCAAGACGTCGCATCTGAAGGCCCATCTGCGCTGGCACACCGGCGAGCGTCCCTTTGTGTGCAACTGGCTGTTCTGCGGCAAGCGTTTCACACGCTCCGACGAGCTGCAGCGGCACTTGAGGACGCACACCGGCGAGAAGCGCTTTGCTTGCCCTGTGTGCAACAAGCGTTTTATGCGCAGCGACCATCTGGCGAAGCACGTGAAGACGCACAACGGTACGGCGCCGAATGGCATTAAAAAGGGCTCCTCGGAGTCGTGCAGCGACTCTGAGGAGGCAGCCAATCAGTCGGGTGAGTCGAACGGGCTGGGCGGCGCGACCAGTGGCCAACAACAGACGGGCGCAGTTGGCGGCGGCGGGGGTGGCTCGGCCAGCTCCTCAAATTCCGGCACTGGCAGCGGTGGCAACAGTGCCAATGCTACCAATGCCGGCAATCGAGCTGGCAGCCATCCCGGCACCCCAACCTCGCTGCATGGGCACAGCGCCTCCGGCACGTCCAGCAGCCTGCTGGGCGGCGGTCTGCACCTGGGCACGCCGCACCAGATGGTCGCCGCGGGCGGGTCGCCGGTGATGCTGCATCAACAGCACCAGCAGCAACAGCAACAGCACTCGCACCAGTCGGCACATCAGCAACAGCAACAGCAGCAGCAGCAACAACAGCAGCAGCAGCAACAACAACAACAACAACAGCAACAACAGCAACAGCAACAACAGCAGCAACAGTTCTCGCAGCAGCAACAATCGCATCCACATGCTCATCTACATCATCATCATCATCATCATTTGGTTGGTGCATCGGCACCTAGTCCCGGTTTGGATCATCGACTCGATCATAGTGCTCTGGTTGATATAAAGCCACCGATGGTTTGAGGTTCGCTGGGACCCTTTCTGTTCACCAACTGAACAGAAATGGGTTCCTGGTCGCAGCTCAAATTTCAGACGCTCTGCAGCGTCATCATACGCAACAGTATGTAGTGTGGACGCGGATGCGGAAGCGGAAGTGGGAGTGGAGGTGGGAGTGGAAGTGAGAGTGGAAATAGATGATGCATCGAAACGCTAAAACAGCTTCAAAAATCCTTTTGTATGGAATTACGATTTTTCTTTCGTCAAATGCGTCAAGTTTTTTTTAGGTTCTCGATACATATAAGCTAAGCATTTTTTTTTTATTATTATTATTATGTATTTAAATATATAAAATATATATATATATATATGTATATATATATATATGTATATATATATATATATATATATATATGTGTATATAAGTAGGAGTGCATTGGAATGCAGCATTCATTTTTTTCGCAAACTTAATTAACAAGAATTTGAACAAACAACAACAATCAATCAATCAATTGCAAGCTAATTAACTACTTGAATTAGTTTAATATGTATAACAATAAAATATTTGAAGTCGTGCTTAAAAACCCTATTGTATATATGTATTTAATATATTTCTAGATGTCTATGCGAGTATAGGTTCGTAAACCTACATATAGCAAACGATTCTCAAATCTATAAATACTTATCAAATGATTGCTTTTGCTATGAACTAAGCTACACATAAACATTTTTTTTTGTCAATTTTTTTTTACTAGCAAGTAATTTTAAATAATATATTTTTTTTTATAGCCCGTAGGTAAATAAATATTGAAGAAAAAAATAGATGTATTAATATGCGCAGCGTTTATATTATACTTATTATATATACATAAATACATATATGAAATGCATAACAAATAAAATGAAATATCAAAAATAAAAATCTAAACTAAATAAATTAAATAAAAACTCTGATTTCAATTAACGGTAAACTATTATTATTATTTGTTGAACATATATGTGAGCAATATGAAAACAAAACCTTTTATTCATACAATTAAAATAATATTTCTAGTCCAATTATAAAAAAAAAGAAAACAAAAAAAAAACATAAAAACAAAATTTTAAAACTAAGAATGGATGAAAACCAAAATTGTAAATCAAAAAAAAAAGAAAGAAACAAAATGCTTTGCTTAAAAAGAGAAAACAAAACACAAAGATCGATTGCACCTTTAATAAATGGCATGCTTAATATAATCGCGGACAGAGAGACAACCAAAAGAGTAGTACAAAACATAGTACTAGAAGAGGGCAACACTGCTCTATTGTTCAACACTGGAAAATGGGGTTTAAAGGGGCCGTTCACTATTGCATGATCTTCATACGAGCGCACACTCAGCGCTATTTTGTATAATAAACCAATTTGTATGTTTTATTTTTGCTATCCACTTAATATACAAAATATACATACTATTTTTAGACGCTAGCGCTTTAAAATTTGCGACTAAATGTTTTTGTTGTTTTCTTAATTTAAGCTTACATTTATATATTTAATGCATACGCTGTGCTTACTTAAACAAATTCGAAGAAACAAAACAAAAAAAAAAGAACCGAGAAAATAAATAGGGCTTGACTAGTTTTTAACTACTTACGAGAACAAAACTTACGTAGATCAAACAGTAGCAAGGAGCACTTTGCATCTTTCAGCATTTTCAACCTATACATATATGTGTGAGTGTGTCTGTGTATGTGCATGTGTATATGTATGTGTGCATATGTGCACATTTACACATACATGCATCGATATTTGCATTAAATTTTTTTGTCAACAAACAATAAAATGTAAATTAAATATTTAAAATAAAGTAAATCAATTTCAATTTTATCAAAAATAAATGTAAAAAAAAACATACAACTGCCATTTCTTCTTCTTCTTCTTCTCTTTTTCTTTTTTTTTCGTTCTTCATAAATCGAAGGGCCAGTCAGAAATAGCAAATGAATATCAATTTGCCAACGACAGCTGGATAATGTGAATCGTATATGTATTCCTGAATCTCTGCATGACTGTGCGAGTGTGCGAGTGTGTGAGTGTGTTGGTGATTTGAGACCACCATGTGGGGGATGCTAGGAAGCACACTTCCGACCCGGCGGCCTCTGTTGGCTGCTCCTGGTGGGTGCTGGCTGGTGCTGGCTGCTGCTGGCTGCTGCTGGCTGGTGGGGGAGTTGTTTGTTTTTGCTTTTGCTGCTTTCTGTTTGGTGCTTGGTACTTAATACTTGGTGCAGGGTGCTCTGACAGTTTATTTAACGTTTGACGGTCGGAATGCTGCGTGGTGGGCGTCATCGTGGGCGGCCCGGCCAACCTTGTCGTTAACGACTTAAACGCATAAAAAGGTGATGGGTAGAAAAACGCTTTACGGTTAACGCTATTTGCTTTGGTTACGCCAGTTACTTACCCGGCCGGCTTTTTGGGTGATTTAAATTTTATTACCGTAGATTTGTTGCCTGGGGTCGAATTCCGACTTCAAATGGGGAGGATACCGGATCGTGCGGCGTGGAGTGAAATTGAAGTGTGTGCAGATTGTTTTTGATTTTGATTTGGATTTGTTGTTGCTGTTGTTGTTGTTGTTGTGGTTGTTGTTGTATTTGTGCTTGCCTTATGAGTAGATTAAGTTGCGCATTTGTAACTACGGAAGTGGGGCGTGCTGAATGGGTGGGTGAATGAATTGAAAAAGTCCGATAGTAAATACATAAATAACAAGTCCGCTGAGGAGTACCACATTGCCGCAACTGATGGACACGTATTGAAAATAAATGGAAACAACAATAAGAGCGTGGATATTTGTATCTCATAGTCTTATTGCTTTTAATTAGTTAATAGGTGGAGTAAGTCATTTCAGCAAAATAAAGCATCAGTCTTGGGAATATTGACTATGTCTGTGCTATTTACCAGATATGTATACAGTTGGTAATAGGAATAATAACAAAAAGAGATGATCTCCCTGCCGCTTCTATTGCGTTTACTCTCCGCTCTGGATTAGTTGCTGTCTGGTTTTTGGGTGTCAAATAGAAGCTATATGAGTTTTTCTTAGCCAGCTCCTGCTGTGCTCCCTGCTCCTCTCCTCCCTCTAATTATCTATTCAAATTTCAAAGGAACGTCGTGAAAGTTGTAAATTAAAATAATGATAATACACACAGAGTCTAAACAGAACCCGAGGAGAGGCATGCGTTTGGCATCGGTTTGCATCACTCATACTTGTACACATTCAGATACTAGCACACACACACACACACACACACACACACACACACACACACACACACTAACAGTCAATGGCAAAGGACATGGCAGATGATAAATGGTTGCTTCAGCGGCGCTAAAAATCAGTAGCAGAAAATTTTAATTAAACAAGCAGAAGACTGCAAAGCAACTTGAATACTCGACTTCTAGATACCCTTCGCATGCCAGCTAAATCAGAGGTAAGTCCAGAGGTAAGACCTTTATAAATGATGGTTACACCATATACCAGGTTATATCATTCGCGACCCGCGGATATAGTCAAATTAGAGATGTTTGTGGATTCATCTTTGAGGGGTGTGGCAATTGCCTGATATGGGTATACAGTGACTATACAGTGAAGTGACTTGTTCTTTGATATAGTAGAAACATATATATATATATATATATATATATACTCGTATATATATTTTAAGTTGATTGATTATTGTTGAAAGATCTGACTGCAAGTTGGTTAACCAAATTGCATACCCTTTGCTAGCCACTTAGATACAGGGTATATGAATGTAGATATGTGATTTTCACACATTTGAGTGGCGTTAGGCGCCGCCAATCAGGCACCCGCCGGGGAATACGTTGCGGGTAGAGGGGAGGAGGCAGTGGGTAAGTGGGTAGGGGAGAGTATCTTGGTGTTGGATGCTGGGAACTATGGTGCATATCAGCTGCCCCCAAAAGTGTCAACACTTTTGTTTCCAGCATCTCGAATTTGATGTTGGCCCGGGGTGGGGTGGGGGCTGGGATGCAGGGGCAGGCCGCAGGCACTTCAAAAATTTCTTAATGGCTGGCCTCGTCTTTGGCTCCGCGGGTGTTGGCTGCCTCCTTGTTCACACATTGTTTTCATTAAGCAGCACACCAAAAATGTTATCCTCAGTTTTGGAATTGAAATCGGTGTTGTTGTTCTTGTTGTTGCTGGCATTGTTACTGCGGCTGAATGAGTGCTCGTGATTTGTTGTTGTTGTTGTTGTTGTTGCTGCTGTTGTCGCTGAGTTGTCTCCCGCTTGTCTCTTGTTTGGGACTTCCACATCTGTTTGCATTTGACACGATTATTTATGTTTATCGCGCGTTAAATGCGCGCTATTATCAGCATAATAATCGTAATTAAAAGCCAACTAATTTATGGCAGTGATTTATGTGCTCGCATTCACCACATTTTTGTACTTCTTTCATACTTCATTCTGACATTCCTCTCTCTCTCTCTCTCCCTCTCTCTCTCTCGCTCTCTCTCTTTATTTTTGTAAAATATGCTAACATGGATTTAATGGCTATAACAAAGCCTTGGCAAATAGTATATGTCAAATCCAGAAGAAGACTATTAACGTCGAAACTTTAAAGTAGCCATTCAATGGTTCTTATCATCACTATGCTTATCGTCACAGAACTGGTGATATACAAAAGTAAATGCAGTTGCTTGCATGTATTCCAGTAATCCAACTAGCCTGAAGAGTCTTCAATCCAAACGAGATGTATGAATATATCTATCCATAATACAGTGTACGTAGTCGGGGTAAACACCTAAAGTCAAGTCCAGCTAAGGAGTATCTTCTAGTTTAGCTAACCAACTGCCAGTGACAATTTCTCAATTTCTCAAATTTTTGTTGTATGTTGTTTTTTTTTTCGAGTCTCGTTTGCATTGTGCAAATATCCCGTGGCGCTGTATTCAAAAGCATTCACAAGAACACCCGCTGCGTATTTTAATCTCATTAACTGTGACCGGTTTTGTTGCCACCGAGTACAATGCGTTGTTGTTATTGTTGTGGCTGCAATAACATTTAAACAAATTGCATTTGTTGTCCTGTGGCTATTGCCTTTGGAGCTAACAACAAGACGCGTGCTCAAATCAAGTCGAAATGAAATTGAAACCGGGAACGGGCACGCATACTGCGCAATAGAAAGTGGGGTAAAAAACAAGTGCACATCAATTTGTTATAGCTATTATTAATATGTGATGCTCGCTTATATTTACTACTCTTAAGTAGAACGATTAATTTCAACATTACATACATCTATTCGTACTAGACAATCGAGCAACTA